TTACAGAACCAAACCGGGAGGTAGCCTGTTGTCGGCCTCTCCTGCAAGCAGAAATCTAGGGGGTTCCAGCCTTGCATAGATATCCCTCTACATTTACTGCTCCTCATAAGCTCGTTGAACTAAAACACGTGCACATTGATCAGAAACTTAGAGCTTTCACAAGAAATACCTGCAGATTATTTTCCCACAGCTTTCAGCAGAAACAATGCATGTACTCAGAGAGAACATCTGATACACTCGCCAGTCACCAAAAGTTTGCTTTTTCTAGAAAAAGTTAGAAAAATACTAACCAATTATTAGAAATCTCTGCCCACCAATGCAAGTATATGATTATAAATGCATTTTACCATACTTGTCCAAACTTAACAATAACTAATTGGTTGAAAATCTATCTCTGAAAAATGTCAGAGTATGAAAATTAACTAAAATTAGAACAGAAGCAGAATACCATCTTCAAAACACAGTTCAGCCTGCCTACTAAAACACTGAGTTTTCTTTTTCCCTTTCAATTTGGTACATAGCTGAAATCCAAAACAATTGTAGCAACCCTGAAGGAACTAAAAAGGAGGCATTCATGCCAAGAAAGTTCCTCAAGAAGAAATCTACAGGTTGTTCTTTGATGTGAACTGTTGGTAGTGCACAAAGCAGTAGCTGCTCTGCTATGACCCCTTTTTATCTTGCTAAATTCCAAAGGGAAACCAAGTTGGTTTTCCCTAAAACACTGTTGAAAGGTATTTGTACCACTACAGAAGAAATTAACCTAATCCAAGCAACTAAGTTTTGTATTTGGAGTAAAGGAATGCATCATGAAAATGTTTGAAAGAAGATGCAGTGTAACAAAAACCTCAAATACCAAAGATCACTGCAGCAGCATTCTTGCCGTATGCTGTAGCACAGACAGAGAAAAATACTGTGGGAGGAGAGGTCTCACATCAGAGCATTGTCTGAAACAGCAGACAGCAAGGTCCTACTACACAAGGCAAGGTCAACGCAACTGGAGAGTCATCTGTTTAAGAAAACACACTATTATTAGATGCAAGTTATGCAGCACTTGTGCATACTGATAGAATAAAACCATTACCCCAAAAATAAATGTTTTCAAATGGTAGCTTCAACTTTGCTCTCAGCGTTTCTACTTTTGTGTCTCATTTAAAACACTGAAGTGAGCAACATAAAGAATACTGAAAATACCTGAGCATTTAATTTTTTAATTACTTATGAAATGTTACAACTGACAAACACAATAATATATTCAATTTAATAAAGAGGCTCCACTGAAAATGTTGTAACAAATTATTAAACCTTACTTACTGATAGCAATGTAGAATAAAAAGTAGGCCAGAGTTGATAGCCTATTTAAACTACTATGATGTGCCTCAGGCTACTGTGAATAAACATTACAGTAAATATACTGGCCCATAGAATACACTGCCTTGTACAAGACTCAAGCCTGCTCAATACTCTCCCTACTCAAAAGCTACACCAAATACATACCAGTTTTGGATGCAAAGAACGCAAAAGAGAGCTCCATGGAGCACCTCACCTAGGCCATAAGGTGTGTGTCCCTGCTGCTTTAAATTATTTACTGAAAGAGCTGGGATTACCTGTGGCACCATCATTGACACTTGATAAACTGGAGCAACGTAGTGGGCTCTGACAGAAGGATAATTCCGGTGGACAGTTGAGCTCATTCCTTCTAGCTCTTGTAGTTTACCCGTTTTCAGTAAGTGATGGCACATATAGCTCTTGTTTGAACATGTTGGATTATTTATGAATGACTGGGCAATCAAGAAAAGAGTATTGTGGATGGCCTACTTTAAAATCAGTGACATTAATTATGTCTTGCATAGAGATGTCAGCATGACAGAGTATATAAAACTGGAGGACCAGACTTCAATCTCACAGCAACATATTTACAAATTAACTTTGTTGTTTCAAATAAAACCAAAATTCTGTGCCTCAAAACAGAAGAAAAATATTAGAGACCTCCCAATACAGGAAATTAATAGAAAAAAATGTCACCAGTTTATCCTCAGGTCTTAAACACAAGTATCACTTCAGTAGATGAATGTTTTGCTCAAAAAAATCAGAGTGAAATATGACCAATTTCTGGCAGAACCAGGACTACGGAAAACCCCACCCACAAGCAGATATATGTATAGGTTTGCCAAGACAAATAAAGTAATGTGCAGAGTAAGCTGGACTGCTCTCACATAATATGTACTCAGTCATGTAGGTCCTCAAGTCCACGTGCAACAACTCTCTTCTAAATGATTAAGAAGGCTCAAGAAGGGACAGAATTAATCTAAGGAAAAACATGGATTTCATGTTAGCATGCTAATAGCTTTCTAAAAGAAAGATGTGATGAAAAGTATTATTTACAAATTAATCAGATTTCATATTACAGGTACAGACAGCCATTAACCTGCTGTCTGCATAATCAAATGACAGTCATCGCTCAAGTGAAATCAGCAATGGCTGCATTGTGAACAGGCATGACAGTAAGTCTGTCCATGTTGGAGCTGTATGACTTGTTCCAGTGTTTCAGTTACTGATATTTTCAAGAAGTACATAAAAAAATGTAAACTATTACTAATAACACTTACCATTGTAATTTATAAAGTTTAAGAGTCATAGTCATGACCCAAAATCCATTTCGTGGTAAGTGCTGTAAAAACATTAAACAAAATGATAACCCTTGTTCTGGAGCATGGTCTTCAGTGTTTTAAAGGAAGACACTCTTCAAGAAATACTTTTGTAAACATGCATGTAAATTAAACTGATCACTAAAAAAACTTAATTTTAACACTTTATGAAAAAAATCCCTACACAAATCATGGACTTCTAATGAAATAATAGATTAATTACTTTTTGCCTCCTTTATAACTGAAGACTTTTTTAACTAATTCTCATTTCAAATCCCAAAACTACTGATAAATTACACCTGCTCTTCTCCAAAAAAAAAAAAAAAAGAGGGGCTGGTAAGTTGAGTAAGATGTTTCCAGTGGTTGTAAATCTACAACCTTTCATGAACAGTCACAACCATCACTTTCCAATATGTGCCTTGGATTTTGGTGCAGGTTCTAGTCACTGGTGGATCTTAACCTGAATATTTCTCTTAACTAAAACAGCCCTTTTGATACAAAAAATATTCTTTCCTATGGGTACTTAAAAATAGAACTCGGATTTTTCCACTACATTTTTTTGGATAACCTAAATACAGAGAATTTATTTTTCTCATATTAAAAACTCCCAATTTTCAAATTATCTTCTCATCTATTTCATGAACTTGTTCTATGATCTCCAGTAAACAGAGTTTTCAGAAATTTTTTATTCTGCAGTTGGGCTTTCATGTTTCTCGATCTAAAAGTTTTACTTTGTGGGGAATTATTTTTTCCTTCTTAATGTCTTGGAACTCTGGTTTGAACACCACACTTTCACTGTACAAGATGTATCACATGAAATCTGTGTTAACTGAGAGGGCAGGAACTGCACTGCCTGGTCTGCAATCACAAAGTCTTAATAAAAAATTTCTTACCACGTATGAAAACAGGAATGAACACACTACAGAATCTGAGATTAATACCTCGATATGGCAGAACAAGAATGAAATCTATTTAGATTACTGAAAAAGTAAGATTTTTAGTAATCCTCTGCCAGTTTATGTAGATTGGACATGCTCTTTCAGTCTTGGGAATTTCTCCATCAAGCACTTCCTAATACACAAAATGTTGTGTCTGTTTCACTTTGTCTCACTGCCCACAGATTTGTTTAGGTGTTTTTGTAACGATCACAAACATTGGTTGTTTGTTATTGACTTTTCACGGGATGAGATACCACAGATCAAAGATGATTATTTGTAGATGGAAACACATGCCTTCTCAAACTACACAATGGTCGCTGCTTTGCACTGATTATTAAGTGGCTTCTTCATAATTGGCAGGTTCTCTGATCTCCTTTCAAATATACAAACGTAAAGGACTGAAATATTTAGCAAACACTTGTCATACAAACAGAGAGGATTGAAGTATTTAGCAAACTTTTTGTCAAACTTGTAGCAAACTAAATACAACAGCAAGGCCAATTCTGCTTCTCACACAAATGCCTCACTATGAAACAAAACATTTTACTATTCCTTGAAGTACAGCCGACCCTTCAGGCATTTCTCTAGCACTCTTAACCCAGCTCTTAAACTTCCTCTATCAGAAGCCCAGTTTGCAGTCACCTGTCTAGGCTCTCCTCTGTATCACCTGTGCTGGTGGCGTCCCAAGAGCGTGCAGCGGAATGGACAAGCATCGCACTCACATCGCACTCAGACACCTTGGTCCTGATTCTACTGACACTTCAATGAAACTACTTCTCTAAGTGTTTGCAGACTTTGAGTCATTGTAACTCAACGACACTTCACCAAGTGGGGCAAAGAGAAGTCTGGAGCTGGAAGGAATGCATTCGCACCTTCATGCCTGGGCGCCAGGGCCTGCAGCACCTGCAAGGAGCGCCTAGAGCCCGCAAGAGGAGCTTGCTGAGACCCATTGAGAGCACCCTTGTCACTTACAGCCACAGGGTCCTTCCAACACCACATCTCCGATGAGTTGCACCACTTTTGGACTACAATTTGCCAGACTTTAAGGTAAAACATTGTTTGTAGAACCGCAGTGGAAGAGAGCATGTGGGATAAGGGCAATCATCCCATTTTGCTTTTGCGTTTGGGATTTTCTTGAACCCTCCCGGAGGAAGGCGGGGAGCCCTGCAGCCGAAGGTCAGGCGAGGAGGGCGCGGGCAGCGGGTCCTGCCGGCGCTGCCGAACATGGCCGAAAGCGGAGCCCCCGCCCGCCCCCGGGCTCGGCCGCACCGGGCAGCCCTTCGCAACCCCCCGCCGGGGCCAGCGGGGCTGGAGGTGCCGGGACCCTGCCCCGCGGAGCCCCCAGAGGAGAGCCAGCCTCACTCGAGAGTCGGGGAAAGAGCCCGGGAAAGCGGGCGGGGGCGAGCAGGGGACGCACCTTTCAGCGTCCCCCTGGCATCTTCTTCTTCTCCTCCTCCTCCTCGGGTCGGCCGTGACTCCAGCGGCGGCAGTGCCTCGGTGGCGGAGCGGTCTGCGGGACGGAGCCGCCCCCGCCTCGCCGGGGCTCCACGGCCGCCGCTGCCCGGGGCGGCGGAGGGAGCAAGGCGCCTTCCCCGGCGGGCCAGGGGCGGGGGCTGCGGGCGCGGACCGCCCCGCCGGGCCCGGCAGGGACGGGGGGAGCCGGGGAGGGGCCGGGGGCAGCGCCGCCGGCTGAGTCAGCCGCGCTCAGAGGGCGCGGGGCCGCCCGCGAGGGTTGCCCCGGGACCGCCCCTCGTCGGTAGTGGGGAGCAGGGTTCTCCCGCCGGGCAGCTGCCCCCGGGCCGGGTCGCTGGGATCATACTCCGCACACGCGGCAGGCGGGGTGCGGCAGCTCCTCCTTGTCCTGCCCTGTGCAGCCCCGCGCTCCCGCAGGCACCGCGGCGAGGCGGGCGGCTCTGCAGCCCCGCGGCAGCGCCGCCGTTCCCGTGCCTCGGGCGGTGCGCGGTCCGGGCAGCTCCTCACCCCTCGTCCGGCAAGTGCGGCGGGTCACCCCGCCAGCAGCAGGGAACTGAACTGCTCCCTCCGGTTCCCAGTGCGCGCTACTGCTCATAAAGGAGCAGGCGGCGCCCGCTGAGGGGGATCCTCGAAGCCTGAGAGCGCCCCGGGTCCCGTCCCGCCGCTGGGCACTCGCCAGCTGGAGCCCGCGGAAAGAGCTTCCTCCTGCCGCCCGCAAGCGAGCGCCGCCGGCCGAGCGCCGCAGCCCCGCGACCCCGTGCGCCTGGACGCGCTCCAGCGCCATCGCCGTGCGCGCCCCCCGAGCGGGGCCGGCGCGGGGGCGGGCCGGGCCGGGGCTGTGTCACCGCATCGGAATGTCGGCCCGCGCCCCCCGTGCTGCTCATCCCCCGCAGAGTCCCGGGCGCGGAGCGGAGCGCGGGAACCGCGGCCGGGCTCGAGGAACATCATCTCCGGGGAGAGCGCGGAGCCTGGGGAAGGGGAGGGGAACGCGGCGTGGTTTCCATCGGCGGTGCGGAAAAAACGCGGTTTGGGAGAACTCATCAGTGCATTTTTGCTTACGAGCTTTTCCATAAGGAGTACAAGAAGGAAAAGAGCCCCGTAAACTTCTAGTTTAAAGAAAGCATTCTCATTTTTTAAACTGGCGAGAGTTGTCCATAGATAACACGGGTTTATTTAGGACATTTTTACGTGAAGGGCAACGATTGTCATAACAAAGGTATGTGGGGATTGTGTCCCAGTGAGGGGCTATAAAACTTACAGTTCATTTACTTCATTCTCTTCCAATGCAAGGAACTCATCATACTATTTTCTATACGACCACTTGAAAGTCAGATTTATCCCTACATATTCTACTCTGTTACCTCAGCAAACACTCAGCACCTCATCGCAACAGTCTTGTGACCATAATACATGAGTACTGATGCCCTGTAGATACTGATGATAGCAGAGAAACTCTATTAGCACAAAGTCTGTTCAACAAATACATAAAAAAAGCCAGTGAAATTACCCAGTGGTGAGTTATGTATTTTCAAAAACTTTATATGTTGTTATTTGGATTTTTAAACAAATTAGGACAGATATAGTGTGTTATATATATCATCATCATGGCTGGGCTTCGCGAACAAAGATTTGAGAAGGATTCTATCCACACTTGCTACAAGCGCGCTGGAGGCTAAAAAGGCCAATGCGAGATAGACAAGTCTGGCTGCAAAAGGCACAGCGGAAAGTCTCCTTAGGTGGTATTGGCAAGACACGGTTCCTTCTGCGTTGTCTTTTCTCCTCAAGAATGATTCTGCATGTGTTCTCAAAAGAAGCAGCAGCGTTTTATATATATATATATTCCTGGCTTTACATTTATTATCTATTCTGACTCTTTCCATGGCTTACAGGTTCTGATTATTAGACTAGGGAGAAAAAATGCATCCACTACAGTAAAACACGTTGATATTTTTAGCAGTGAAACATCTAAATCTTTTATTAAGAAACATGAGACATGGCCAGTCTGAACTAATTCAGGTAATTAACTCATAATATTGAGCATTCTACACTGAAATACAGTACAGACTGGATAAAATCCAGGTCCTACAGAAAATTTAATATTCCCTTTGCCTCCAGCATGGCCTGGATTTCATTCACTGCATATAGTACCCAAAAAATGCCATAATACAATATTTGCAAAAAGTAAAATCCAAGTAGTGAATCTTTTCCAATTCATGTTCTGTGTGATCTGTATATTTTTCAGTACTTTCATATATTTAGATACTGAATACTGGCCCAAAATACATTACATAATACTCTAGTGTACTCTACAATTTCTTAGTGTTAGTTGCTTCAGAACAAATCTTGCAATAGGTTTTCAGCTCTACAATACTGACAATAAACTATCCTCTAAACACACAGGCAACAAGAACCTTTCCATGGAAGCTTTTTCCAGTTTCTCTCTGCTTTTCCATGTTTTTTCAAGAGTGCAGGAAAGTTACTATTGCATTATTCCAAGGGAAAATATATATAATTTCTCCTTTGCAATGTGTTCACACTTTATTTTTTTCAATTTGCAAAACTCCAACAATAAAAGATATCCTGTCCTGAAAAGAAAGTGATACTTTTTACAGAATGGAAAATTTGGAGAAATCACCATATCCTTGACTTGCCAAAAAATTAGGGCATCTGTCAAACTTCAGGCACACATCATTGGGCCAACTTGGCATACCAGGGATCAATAACATGCTCAAGCACTTTGTTGTATTCATTCCTGAGATCCAACTCCTGACCTGGAAATTGAAGACTTCCTTGTTTCACTGAGACACTGGAAGATTATTTAACAGTAAGATTTTTGAACACTGTGAAAGAGACAAGTCGGATACAACAGTGGTAAGTGATATGTACAGAATAATTAGATGCTCATTCCCTCCAGGATGACATCTGCTTCTGTGAACACTGTAGGAAAGAAGAAATTACCAGTATAACAAAGCTTCAGCACTGCTCTTTTTCTAAAATGTATTTATGCAATTAACAGTTCAAAAATTGCATCCCTGTAAAGTACTGGAGGATGAGAAAAATTTGAATATGAAGTAATAATGATGCCTAGAAATATCTAATACAGATGCTACTTTTAATGTGATTTCCTTCTTTAAAAACAAGTCAAAAATTACACGCAGCTGATGAGAAAGATGAAATTGCATCCCAGCTACACATTTGCAGTTGAGACAAAGCATCTTCTTTCCATTCCAACAGAAGTACATGATCCTCTGCGATGCTGCAAGCACATTTACTTTGGAAGAAGTGCATTTTCTTGGTGACAGGTTAGAAAACTGCCTGTTAGGATAGTTAACCCAAGTAATCTGCTTGCCTCCATTATGGTAAGATTCACTGGGTTTGGACCTCTCTCCCTGGTTGTACACACAACAGAAATAATTCCCCTCAACCAAAGTCACTGATCTTTTTTCAAAATTAATTTGTTCCCAAGGTGGAAAAACGCTGCAGGTACCCAGACCTCCACTTTCTCTGGGGACTCCCATGCCCAAGCTTTACAGAAGTGAATTTTGCCTGGCAACCTCAGTGCTATACAGATGAAGAAAATATTTTTTGCTGAACTTGACTCATGGGTCACAGTTTCTTTTTAACATTCTCAGCCAAGCAGAGAGTGCCTTAAGAATGCTTCAGTTTTCTCTCCCATTGTCCATCAGTGTCTACCCTGTTTTCATGAGAATTCACTGTTAATCATCACACGGTACTGCTACTCCATCAGGCTTGACAATACAGAAAGACAACGCATCCAGCTCAAATACAGTACTTAAAGGCAGAGGAAAATACAGGACTTCCAGAAAACTTTGATGTGTCTTTTAGCTCTTTTATCAGCTAACAGTCTTCTACCGACCATGTATTCTGGAGTTTGGGTTACAAAACTGATTTAGAGATGAACTTCAAAGTGATGCATAAATATTAAATTCCACACATTCCTGTGAGATGGTAAGTATTATTAACATTATACAGATGGGGAAACTAAAGCAATGTGAGTTTACTTGGGCAATTTTCCCATCATGAAAAAAAAAATAATTACAGTGGTAGCATCAGTAGTCAAGAATACCTGGCTTTTTTCTGCACTCACTTTGAATGGCACATCACCTGCCTAAACCCTGCAGTATAATCTATAAAGGAATATTTTGTTTTCAATCATGATATTATATAGCAAAATTTTCAAACAATTTATTTAACAAATTACATAAAACACTTAAAATATGCTTTTAATTTTAAAAAAATAGCCAAAAGGTTTTTCCTTGGGCTTTGCTCCAAAATTCACCCTTCAGCTAGGACTAAAGAAAAGCACGCACACTTGCACACATGCAAACAGAAATTCTAAAAGAAAATTAGAAACATATGAAAATAAGGATTGAGAATGTTTTCTTAACTGCACTCTGGTTTCAATACAGCAAAATTTTCATTGATTTACTAATGGATAGAATTTTTCTTGTGAAGTAACACACAGGCCTTATCTGCAATTAATTCCTTGCTTCCATTGAACGAATTATCATCCTACAGAATTACAGCCCACGGAGGCAGGGCAGCTCAGCTCTCTCTATAAAGCACAACCCTACCTAAGTCATACGGTGATTCCGCCCTATGAGGAGAGTTTTTACAGAAAGAGTTTCAGTTGAGACAACCATTATTTTAGTAAGAGCTAGATTTTGAGGCTATTTATTATTGCTAGATAAATAATCACAAACTACAAGTCCTATACTGATTCTCAAAATAATAAATAAATAATACGAACTACTTGAATTTCAGAAATTGTTTTTAAATTATTAACTCTGGACTGGAGGTTTCTTATGAAGCCTGCTATTCTATGAATGTTACAGCTTTGTAACCGCATTACAGACTTATTGTTACTTTACGTGATGTAATGTGAGGTGTTTTGCCTATCTGACCACTAAAACCATCACCAGTCATGGAGGCAACTATGAAAGTTTAATGAACTTGCTCAATGACTTTCTGACATTTCAATTAGGAAGAAAAAAATTTAACAAGATAAAACAAATAATTGTTAAAAAAGACTGAAGCAATGACCTTTGGAATTGATATCAGCTG